TAAACATTTGGTGCAGGATTCTGATTATTAGATAGGTATTATTTATTTTATCTCAACTATACATCATGGGTTTAATTATAGTTCTGTCATCAATTTAGAATATAATATGACTGGTCACACAAGATGTTATTTATTTCTTAATCAGTGCTCTTAATCTCAACCTGTGAGTTAATTCTTGTAGGTTTTATTGTGCTCGTGTGGTATAGTAATTGAGTCGTCATCTTAATCTTTTGATTTATCTCTCAACAAGGCAATATTGTAATCAATGGAAATTGAAATTTGTAAGGATGTTCAGTCTATATGCAAAAACGTGGCCTAATTGAAAGTTTGAAAATAAGCAAAATCATTCCTAACAATGTTAGGCTTTGCCATACCTGCTTTTTAGGGAGGGAAATTTTGGTCTACAAACTAAGATTGTGTTGGCAAACCATTTCAACATTTACCAAACAATATGCTAACATTATCCAGTCAAATACTTAAGGTATGGTTGTGTATCTCTTTTGAATACTTTTTTTATGTTTTTTAAATTGTACTTCATTGTTAGAGTTGCATCATTTGTTAGACCACACTGCATGATCTTATGTTTTCTGGACATATCATGAGCTTATGTGACATGATCTGGAGAAGTGTTTTAAATGGACAATCAGTTTGTAAGAGTGATTTTAAGTGGAGAATGGAACTAGAAGAGGACTTATAAGTGGAGTTAAGTAATTGAGCTCTGACATTCAAGGCCATTTTTATGATGCCATTCATTTGATAGAACTTTGGAGCTGGTTGATGTAAAGCCTTACTTAGCCATGAACCACGACCAAAAACTTGAAACAATTGATGATCACCCAATTTGCAGTATCCCTATTACTATATTTTGTAACTTTGTGATCTATCTGATGTATTGATTGTATAAATGATGGAAAGGGTTAATTTATGAACCTTTGCTCTAAGTCAGTTGCTTTCACTGATGAAATGGTACTGTAAAGATAGCTTCAATCATTGCATATATTCCTTTTTTTTATCAAACTTTTGTTTGTGTCATTCTGCAGCAGACAAAGCTCCTGTTAATTCTCCCTCACTGTTAGAAGCTTCTACTAATGATGAGGCAGACCTTAGAGCATCCCCCAAGGTAAGCATGACGTGTTTTGATGATAACAGAAAATATTGTCTTTGTTGTTTCTTTTTAAACCATTCTTGCAACTCTTTTTTCTTAAATGTTATATTACTAATTCAGGTTGTCTAAGAAGAATTTCTTAAATCCTTCTAAGGTTCTTTATATTTTAGAAAGCCTCATGAATATTTAATTACTTCTGTGCAATTAAATAGTGGTGGGAATATATAATTAATATAAAAGATTAGAAGGGAGGATGGATAGATAAAAAATAATGCTGGATATCTTAGAATCCAAGGTTTCTATTACTGATCTAATATGTTATGCATAAAATAACGCTTCAAACATACATATAACTCACATAAAACAAGCTATTAGGCCAAAATGATGTGGATTATCTTTGATAAAAACTAGAAAAAAGAGAATCCAATTCAAAAAAATGTAATTTGTACCTTAAGAAATTAATTACTAGAATTAAGAATCAAGAAAGTCATGCACATGATTGAGATTTCAAGCAGCATTAGAATTCAAATTCTTGCAAATATGATTAAACATAATCTCACTTTAAACTAACAATGAAAAACATTGAAGAAGAAGCCTATAGTTTTTAATATCATGTGAAAACTAAACTATTCTCTTATTTTTGTGCTATTTAATTTTGAGTCATTTGAGTTGATTGAATTTAAGTCCAACCATGTAGGTCACACATTAATGATTTTGAGCTAGCTCAAATTGATTTTGTTTGGACGGAGGATTAATTCATGCGAAGTCAAGCTGAGTCAACTTAAAACACAATTTAAGTTTAAGCTTATTTCAAGTAAAACTATGCTAGAAAATTAGAGCCATGTTTGACTTGCTAGAACTCAACATGATAGCATCCTTACCTTATCTTCTTGTTTGAATTCCATAAATCTCATGTTTCACACCAATTATATACTTATAATTGTCATGATTAATGATAAACTTCAAGGAATATCTTTATGCATATCAAGTTTATGAATAGTAGATAATGTAGTAAAATATGATGCATTATTAAGTAATGATTAGTTGCTTTCTAATTAATACACTATAGATTTATAGAAATGGGGAGAAATTTAATGACGGTTCAAATTTGGAAAATGAAATATGAAAGAATTTTATAGGAGTTTTAGATTCAAATAACTTTTCTTGTCATTCCAAATGATCTCATAGGTATTTGTATAAGCTCCAGGGAGATTTCTAGTTACAATACAACTCCAAATGAACATCTATTGCAAATTTATCCAAATGCACATTCATAAACCATATTAAATCTCTGTGTGCTCACAATTTTTTATATATTCCTTACATGTGTGATCTACCTTTAATACATTGATAAATGCAAAATCATGCTTAAAATTCCGTCAATTACAATTCTATGCCTATTATAATTCTCAAAGTAGATTTAAGATGGATTTATTTTTCTACGCCCCTTTTAAACTTAATTTTCATTCATCCTTTATTCCAAGAAGATCATTTAGTTTATGAAATAGATTTTACACAAGTGCTTTGGTGATAACATATACATCTTGATCATATTTCATCATGTTAATAATCTTCACTTCTTCCTATTTTTCATGCTTATGAATATAAGTATGAGATGACATTGAAATATTGATGTGCTTTCTCCTTTCATGATAGATTGGATTCTTGGCTAATGTGATTACTGATTTGCTAGCAGTGTTGATCTCCATAGCTTTGAGTTGAGGAAGATGTATTTTTTCCGAATAATTTCCTTAATTAAATCAATGGCATCTGTCTGATGTTGTTGCAACATATTTTACTTCATAAGTAGCGGAAGTGTTATCAAATTTGATCGTAGACAATCTCATTGTCTACCAGTAATGGAAAAGATATAAAAAAGAAGAAAGCAAAAGAAAAAGACACCACTAGAAAACCAAGCATTATATTTATATTAAGAGATAATTTCTTATGAAGTTTTTTGAATTCATTACTGGATCAAAGATTGAAATCTCAGAATTGGTGAAGAAATGAAGTCTATCCTTTCATGGTAAAGAATTTTATTCATGAAATAAGATTTTCTTATGTGAATTAAATATATTTCTTTTAATAAAATTCTTCACATAAAGCCTCCCATATACTACTAGCATAACCATCAAGAACCAATGGAAAATTCGGAATAGGGGGCAACTTGAAACTTCGATTATAAAACAAAAAAGATTAGGAATAATTAACAAATACCATACGATCAAAACACCTATAAATTACATAAATCCAATAGATCTCTAGAATAGTTTCACAATTCCAACTTTTGCACTACTAAGAGTTCTACATTCACTATCATAAGAAGTTTTATAATCCATCGAAAAGCTTTGTGCCTCACGCATAACCCAGCATAAGGAGATTATGAACCTTGAATAAACAAGGTCTAATAAAAAGCAATATGCAAAACAAACCATTGAGATTTTCCTTGATAATTCCATTCATCATAAGCATGCTTAGAAATCCATCTAAATGATAGTTTAAATATAAAAGTAGCTTCAACTGAATCATCTGATCTAATTACGTTACGAAAGACCCCTTGCAGTCTATTTTCTCACTGTGATTCAAGCCTCTTATTTCTCAAAATAAGGAATCATAATTACTAGAATTAAGAATCAAGAAAGTCATGCACTTGTGATTTCGTAATTAACCAAGAAGGCTTGACATTTCTCAAAATAAGGAATCGCGTGCTTTGTGAAAGCCAACTTCTCACCAGTTTGACCAACCAAATCACAAGTGTTTCTATACTTTTCTTTGAATCAATCGTGTTCTATCTAGTGTTTTGGCCAACTCAGGATTACTTAAGGCGACTTGTGGATACACCAACCATTCCTTTACCATGTGATGTTAGTCTCATCAGTGTATTTTGGAGAATGGGCCTGAGTTAAATCTAAGACGTGGATCAAAAATCTCAAAGAATGTTCGTAGCACCTAACATCATTCATCTCGTATGCCTTAGGGTACTTAACCTTTTTATTCTATATTTAGGGCCTATATTTAAATTTTTTAATAAGTCACTCCAAGCCTTTGAGCCAAAGACACTAATGTAAAAGCACCTTTAAATCTTCTTTAATCATGATTTATGTGTTTAAGTCAATCTCAATTTTAAATTGTTAAATCTAGTTCACTATAAAATTTACTGATGAATGTGGACAACTCAGTACCAGTTATATTTATAATGGTGGTCACATAATGATTCATATTTGTATCGTCGGAGAAGAATGAGCTTAAGTAACTATTTTGCTGATTCACTCAGTATTTAATAGGAGGCAATCATTGCTCTTGTTTGAACTCTTTGGGTGAGAGGGTCTTATGATCTTTTGTCGTTGGTAGATTCGGTCTAAAAGTTTGACTGAGATTATAAAATTATGGAACCTTGATCAGGTTGAGTATTCATCTCTATCTACCCTCTATGCATAATCCTAAATTCTTCCAGTTACTTAGATTTCCATCTAATTTGTAATTAACCAAGAAGGCTTGACATAGAAAATTTCGATATCTAGATCTAATATAAACCATAAATGAATGATTTGGGAAATATAAATTTTTGAGAAATTAAAAAAAAAATTTTCATGTGATTGAAGGAGAACATCTTTTTGAGCTCATGGGCATGCCCACCGCTCCCATGGGCTTGCATGGATGGTTGATTCTAGAGGGAGAAAATAACATTCATGGTTTGGCTAGTGAAGTGTGAAGGACTTGAAATATTATAGGATGGTGGGGTTAGCATATTGAAAATCAGAATTTGATGTGTTGGAAGCCTGCATGGATTGGTAGTCTAGCATGAACGTCATAAGTTGTAAATTATAAATGGCATTCATGTTTTCATCCATTTTTTAAAGTTATTAGTTCATTAGGCATCCTTTTTTTAATATTTAATATGTTACAAAAAAATTAATTTATTCATTGAGCCATGATTCTTGACCTCTTAGCTTCTGAGTAGACCCCAATAGGCTTGATCTAGGTTTGTGCTAGATCTGTACTTATATGCGATCTCAGTGCCACAGAGTAACATAATGATCTTAAAAGTTAAAATTTAATGGACTTTACCGTTTATTTTGACATTTTGTACGAGTAACTCCAGTCACAAGTCCATCACCATGTTCAATCATTTTTGTTTGCTATTCCTGTTTTTCCTTTTGTGAAATAAGACAACTTATTTTTGTTTGCTATTCCTGTTTTTCCTTTTGTGAATTAAGACAATGTGAAATAAGACAACTTGGAAAAACATTTTCTTATTTTCCTTCATTCTCTCCTCTCTATCTGGATTGCTTTGCTTCTTCCTTTGCGACAGTGCGACAGTGCCACAGTGCCACAGTACCAGTCCTGCTCATTCTTCTGTTTTTCTTCCACTTTCTGTATAATTGATATGGAGCATTTATAACAAATCAAACCATATATGATTTGTGAATGTAGGGAACAAATAGGGCGCTTGCAATGTTTGAGTCTAAATGCCTGCGATGTATGAATGGACTCCAACTACTAGATGATGCGCTGAAAAATAAACGATTTCTTCCTACCGGGTGTGGAGGGTATGCTAAGCAGAAATCATCTATATGACTGGACTTTGTAAATTAAAAGAGCTTTTTTATTTATATTAATTGGTCATGGAATGTCTATTGACCCTGTGTTGTATGAGCTGCCAGAATAGATATACTTCTTGGTGGAGGATTGCGTGAGGGCCAGTTGACTGAAATTGCTGGTCCTTCTTCATCCGGAAAAACACAGGTAAAAACTTCCATTTTTTTTATATTTGAAGCTTTGCAAAAATAATTAGTTATTAGTAGTGATAGTTAGGAGATTTGGTTTTTATCAGTTCTGTCGTCTTATTTGCCATCCATTTATGTGCAGATTTGCCTGTATATTGCTTCGCATGTTGCCTTCAGGCTTTGTGGTTCCATTGTTTTCTTGGATTCATCTAACTCCTTTTCTCCAACTCGCATTGCTTCCATTGTAAATCAAATTTGCAGGCCTGCGGACAAAGAGGTTTAATGCTTTCCTTTCTTTTTTTTTTTTTTTGATCCTGAACATTGATGTGGTTCCTTGTGGTAAAATAATGGTCAAATTCATGAATTTATGCCAATATCATTGATTTTACCTTTTTACTTTGGCTTTTTTATAATCTCAATATTCTTGCTTAAATTTAGGTCCATGACAGAAGGATTAAGATGATCATGAGCTGTATACACTGTCAATCCGTTTTTGACATATTTTCCCTGCGGGATGCGTTGCATGAGCTTGAGAGCACATTAAACAAGCAGGTTAATAAATTAAACATTCCGTTTATTCATTATAGAAATTGTTTTGTCTTGCTACTGTGTTTGAGATTTTGTATTGAATGTTTCAGACAATATACAATGGTGGAAAGATATGTATGTTAATAATTGACTCAATTTCATCTCTCATAACACCTATCCTTGGAGGCAAAGATTCTCAAGGTATGCTCGTGCTTGTTTTTTAGTAGTTGATTACGTGATTTTTTATGAGCTTAGTTAAAACATTATAGGAATTTTAGCTAGAATTAATTTAATTTGAAAAGGGAAAGAATTTTATCTTTATTGAATTGTCATCATAGCGTCATAAAAGAATATATAACAAAAGAGAAAATTTTCAATGGCGAAGATATATAAAAAATGATTAAGAGTGAATGTTCTTATTGTAAATAGTTAGCACAAGCAACGATTTAAATGTGATAATGTATACGAAAGCTATGTTAGCATGAATCTTTAGGCAATCCAACAATCAAGTTATATGACGAACAAATGGAGGAAAATGCTGACCGTTCGAAAAACTTTAGAGCAAAAAGAGCCCCTTGGAGCCAAGCCTATGGATCGAGTCACTAAAAGGTCTGACGATCGACATAAGACTAACCAGCCGAACCAAGTCTCGAAGGTCAACTAAGCCGACTTGGCAGATCGAGGAAAAATGATTAGTTGCGAACCCATTGATCGTCGGGACCCACACTGATCGAATAATCGCACTTGCCATTTAATATAACTGACACATGCAATGTACTCCCTAAGAGACTAATGATTAAAGGGCATATTTGTAATTCTAAAACTCATACCCTATGTCTATAAAAAGGGGGTCAATTTTTGAAATAAAGGTTATGCACTATTTACTATTCATAACTGTCTTTCTCACTCTTCTCTCTTTGTGACGCTCTATTCCTGGACGTGCTTCCCAGACATTTTCATAAAACTATGCTTATTTATAACAACACAATACTGTCAATACCATCACAGGCTATAAAACAAAGATATTGAACAAAGTTCTGAATTTGGCTCCAAGCAAGACCACCATCATACGGTACTTCGGAATTGAAACTATTTACACAAAACTTTAGTAAATGTAGAATAGACCAAATGGAGGCATACCTTCATAACTTCAAAATCATCAGCTTCAGGCCGGCAATATCTGAAGAAAATTACTTTGGAAGTTATACAATTTTATATCAAATAATGAAGTATAATATTTGTTATGTGCTGTTTGAAGATATATACAAATATATGATACATTTACTTTAGTTTAATTGCTGGTTGTTGCCTGTAAGTAGATTTGCTTGCAAAAAGCTTCGAGAATGAAATGGAGGCACAACTTCATACTCATTTCTTGTTGAGGGCAGCATTCTCATCTGCTGCTGCTGCTGCTGCAGTCTTTCATTTCAGCAATCTGAATCATCTTGCAGCAAAATAAAGAATCTTCCATTTATTACTATCTATAATTTAATATATTGATACAGATTCATTCATGAGTTTGAAATTAAGAAAAATGTTGTAGAGCATAAAGTAGACCTTATTTCTTAGGTACATGTTATCATTTTGCAGTTCCATCTCCTGCAAAGCAGAAACAAACACATTTCAGATTCAGAAGCTGCTACTTCTATTCATTCTTGGTTTTCTAAAATTCATTATTCTAAAAACTAATTTTTAGCGAATCATCAGACGTTTGCTGTCTAAATTCTCAAATTATTGAAGTCAGAGCTTTGTATTTTCTTCAGTTGTTATTTTGTTAGCCACAATAATTCTGAGTTGTGAGAGTGGTACCTCAAGAATAAGTACAGCTTCGGACCCATACATCAGAGCATACGAAATAGACTATGTCAAAGTTTTGTAAGTTGTTCTTAATGCAGTACAGGTAACTGACAAGTGGACATTTAAATTGTATCATTCAAAGTTTACAATTTGTCATGCATTTAAAATTAGAATTTCATTTAGCAGTCAAAAGTTTTTGTTTTGTAAGAATGTATTTTGTTTTATTTTATCTTTATATGTTTTGAAAATACCGAATACAAGTCAATCACAATGTCGGACTAGAATCGCCAGCAGCCAAAGAAGACAAGGGTTCTCGCTAGTCTAGTGTCGATGAGTAATATTGTCATCCTACATTTTCACCAGGTCCCTAGTTCAGGTCCCGATGTCGTAGGATGTAATATTATTCTGCTTTATTAGCGGATGTCTTTCTCATCACCGCCCTTAGACCTCGAATCGTCCAACTAACAGTTTTGCTTAGTGGTTCATATATAATTATTGTCATCCTACATTTTCACCAGGTCCCTAGTTCAGGTCCCGATGTCGTAGGATGTAATATTATTCTGCTTTATTAGCGGATGTCTTTCTCATCACCGCCCTTAAGCGTATTTCTTCCTCATCACCGCCCTTAGACCTCGAATCGTCCAACTAATAGTTTTGCTTAATGGTTCATATATAATCTAATCTATATATGTGCACTTATATTAGGATATAAGCACAAATCCAACTCATTAAGCAAAGAAAAAAAATAAAGAAAAGCGAACCAGAGAGGAAAGAGAAGAGGGTTTGATCCATTTGAAATATGAAAGAAATAAATGATGGATTGGTCCTCAAAACTACATTTAAAATCGCTTCAAACATCCAACGACATGAACAAGCTTTTTTGTAATTTCTACTATCCCAACGTTTTAAAATGCAACATTTAAACTTCTTCCCAATGTTACAAAAGAGCATCAAATCCTGATGTATAAAGGCTGCAGAGAGGGGAAGAGGGAGAAATTTCTTCATAAAAAAAGGGGAACTTTTTGTTATATCCATCACACTTAGTTCCTAAGTTTTTGTTAGATTCATCACACTTTTTATTTTGGGAAGAAGTTTAAAATATATTTCTATAAAGCCCCTTAGCCCCTTAGTTCCTAACTTTTTAATATCACACTTTTTAATATTAATTAGTTAATCATTAATATAGATATAATATATACATATAT